ATTTCTGTCCTCAAGTCTTCAAGGCATCTCCTCCAACAAGATCCAAATTTATAAATTTTCTTTATCCTCTCCCTTCCGGCTTAATTCCGTCGGGAGGGAGAGTAAACTTTCCCTTCAGCACCTCAAAATAGCCGCTTTTTTTTCTCTTGTGGAAGAAATCATCAGAAAACCATCTTTTCCAGGAATTAAATTAGATAAATCTCAAAGCCCTGGGTCGACCAAGAAGAACTTTTACTTTCAATAACTTTCTCTTCTTCCTCCTGCGCATACTTGCCCGGCTGTCAACTTCTTTGTGGCGGCCATTACGGACCGCCGCTGCACCGTCCTGGTAACAGGGGGTTCTGCCGGCCAGGGAGGGGGTCTGCAACACCCCCAAACCCTTCCTCCGGATCCCCCTTACCTTCAGCTACCCCTGCAGGGCAGCCTTGCTCCGCACCCGTCCGGGTCGGAGCCCCAAAACGGCTAGCGCGGCAGGGATCGCGCAGCTTCGCGAATCCCTACCGCTCGCGAAGCCGACAAACCGGAAAACTCTGGTTTCTCTTCAGATCGTGTAAATCTTTCGCCTTTTTTTCCTAGCTTTTTTTTATAAACTTTCCTGGTTTTATAGTCTAGCTCTGCGTCTACAATTGCATTGAAATCTCCCACTACACATATATTTTCATATTCCAATTCTATTATTTTCTTAGGAAGTTTACTATAAAAATCCTCTTGTCTACTATTTGGTGCATAAATTGCTACCAGAAGTATCTGTTTTTAATTCATTGTTATCTCCACCACCAAAATCCTCCCTTCTTGCCCGTCTTCCTTTTCATCCCCTCCTAGATTCCATTCTCACCCCGCCAGCCCTTGTGTTAGCGAGGCCGGTGTCGGTAGTGGCCGGGTCGGGCTAGTGTCTTGGGGCGGAGAGAGCAGGTTGCACGTCTCCCCAAGCGATGTGCAACGCCCAGCACCAACAAGGGCCAGAAGAAGCGCCAGCAAGAGTGAGGCGCTGGAGAATCAGCCCCCACCACTTCTCCATCCCCTGCTGTCGCCCTTCTCAGGCCAGGCGAGGAGTGACTGGGAGGGGAGGATGAGGGGCGGGACTAGCCAGTTGTGGGATCACCCAACGGAGCCACAGCAGAGGGATGAAAGAGCCACATGCGGTTCTAGAGCTGCAGGTTGCCAACAGTGACTAGGTATTGCACACGTCGACGATGCAAATGAGAGTCCAATATTTTTTTAACCTCGTGATGGGTCTCTCCCTGCACTACAATTGGCTGGGGAGCAGCCTGGTCTACTGATCTCAGCCAAGAGCCAACTGCTGGCTTTAACAAGCTGCTGTGAAAGACCAGATGCACTTTCCCTAGTTTAAGCTGAACAGTTACAGGGTTAATTACTTTTGCTTTTGGGAATGGCCCTATGAACTTAGGACACAGCTTTTTACATGATAAAAAGTTTTAGATACTTTGTTGACAGGAACACTTTGTTTCCATTTCGGAAAGGAGGCGCTTGTCAGCTTGCGTTTTATATGACCTTGCTGCGTCCACTAAGGCTCGCTTTGTATTTTCCCAGCCCTGCTTCAGTGTTTCCATCCACTCATTCCAGGAGATGGAGGATGGCAGCTCTCGGGGCAACTTGGGCATGGGTACGAACTCCATGCTGCTGGTGACTTGGAAAGGTGTCAGGCCAGTGCTACTGTGTACCGCATTATTGTAGGCAACCTCTGCGAAAGGCAGTAGGTCCACCCAATTGGATTGCTGGTAGCCCACATAGCACCTCAAGTACTGCTCTACCATGGCGTTCGGCTGCCCCATTAGTACTTGGATGAAAAACTGAGCTAAGCCTCTGTGTGGACCCTATGGCTCTCAGGAACTCCCTCCAGAATTTCTCAGTGAACTGAACTCCTGTATCGGAGATAATCCTGCGGGGCACCCCATGCAACCTACATATATCTGCCTTAAGAACATCCTACCTAATTTTTTTAGCTGAGGGTAGTCCTAAACGGGAGCTTGACTATAAAGTCCATGGCAATTTTCTCCCTGGGTCGGCTCAGGTCTGCCACTTGCTGGAGAAGGCCAGGGGGTTTTCTGGGTTTTTTCTTCATGGCTGCGCACGTGGTGCAACTCTACATAGTTCTCTACATCTTTCATCCTAGGCCACCAGAATTGCCTCCTGGTCAGGTGCAGGGTCTTTAGGAATCCAAAATGTATGTCAAGCTTGGAGTCATGGCTGTGCTGCAGGATTTGGAGTCTTAAGCTGGAAGTGATGTACAGCTTGGCCCTTTTCCAGGCTAGTCTCGCTTATCAATGAACCATGGGTCTGCCAGAAGTGACTTCAGGGCCTTTGTCATTTGGTGTCCCCCCCCCCCCC